TACATTGAAGTTACCACATTAATAATAATAATAATAATAAATAATGCTTGCATTTGATGTAGTGTCACATCACATATCAAAACATCTCAAAGCAAGATTTTCACTGTGAAAGAGGAATACAAAGTACCAGGTGCAATATGTCTTTATAAACTAAAGGGTAGATTGAGGCTGATTTTATAATTTCCCCTTCAAAAATCAAATCATGCTACTTCTCATAAATTGTATTATGTGAGACCTTGCGTCACAAGTAACCCTAATAACAGACATTTTCCCACGACTCTTTCAACATGTCTTTGAGAGATTGGATCCAGGTGGCTACACACCCTGTGTGTAGTTATAGTAACATTGATACTTTGTACTGAAGTAATTATTATTATTATACTGAAGTGTCTTATACCATCAGATAGGCACTGAGCTCTGTGAGCTGAGCTGGGCATGGAACCATTGGTCTAACCATTGCTATTAATGCCTCCATTATTGCAACATGTGACTAACAGGAACGTAGAAGGCAAACCAGATGAACCTTGGTATTTTACTGTCTAGCAGTTCCTATGCTGCTATTGATCATTGCCTGTGGATTGTGCTGAGAGCAGCTACGACTTTGAACATATGTGCTGCCTACCATATTTGCTTTCAGTGTTGCCAAAGAGCCATGTCGGAGATTATGAAAATATTTACATATATTAAACAAGATTGTAGATAGCTGGTAGTGACATTACAGCAGTGCTTCAGCTAAGCAGTTTTAATAATGTCTTAAAATAAACAAGCAAAATTCAAATGGTTTATAGATGTCAGCAGAGCAATCATATTGAATTATTGCCTTACCGTCATATTTTGAAAAATACTTTAAAGAAACTGGTCTTTAGAATTTGTCACCTGTCTTTTTCTTCACTCATCTTCTTCCACCAACTACACCCTTTTCCCCTGCCCAATACCCATTTCTGTTGTGAAAATAGCAGTTTGTGCTGTAGTATGTTAAAAGGGCTATGTTTTGCCCTGTAATATCTTACTGAAGTGCTCAAGCAATATTGTCTTTATAATCTAAAGGGTGGGCTGAGGCTTATTTTGTAATTTCCCTCTTCATGTATAAGTTGAATCTCATGGTGACAGTTAATACATTTGTACATCTAATTAATTGCCACTTAGGAAAATAAATCTCAGAAAAAGAAGGTGATTAGTTAAGACCAGCCAACTGCAAGATGTATTAAGTTGTGGGAGAAAAATGTTTTTGGAACTATTGCAGATATTGTGTATTTTTAAAGTAGAATCTTAATTTATAGTGTTAAGACAGAGCTTCCAAATTATTTAAAAAGGAATTAGATATGTGTTTGTATGAGAGAATATTAGAGGGCTTGGGAGGGAGCAGGAGAATAGGGTTAGATTAGTTGTCTCATTTGGAGACAAATATTAGTGCAGATTTGGAATATATATTTTCCTTGCATTTGATTATAATAATCCTTGCATTTGACATACAGCACCTTACCATGTTGTTGAGACGTCTCAAAACACCTCAAAGAATATACTGTAAAGTGGTGTGACTGTGTGTGTAGTTTGTGGGTGAACAATTTTTGTATTCTGGGATTCTTCAAATGTAAGAAATACAGTACATCCCACATTGAAAGTTGGACGCCACTCAAAGAATAAGGAAACCTGTACTAATAGTAAGTAATTTCTTCTTTCCCACTCCCACACAGATTTCTAGGTGCTTCTATAAAAGTTTTAAAACTAATTTGCTGTTTCTAGATGTTCTTTTCAAGATTACAAAACTTCTAAGAGTCTTTGCTAAGAATTCTGGCCTTGAGGCTCAAATATGAGCAGACACATGTGGCATTTTCTTGTTGCATACTGATGCATTATTAATAAGAATCAGGAATTACCAATAGGGCGGTTAATACACATGTACAGTTTCCAGCTGTGTATATGTCAGCATATCTTGGTTTGTCACTTAGTCTTTAGTGTATTACTTAAATTCAATGAATCATAGATATTTACAGTTCAGAAGGAGGTCATTTGGCCCAGTAAATCTGCACCAGCTCTCAGGGTAACGTGTTAATTCCACTGCCCTGCCTTATCCCCATACGATAACAACAATAATAATAATAAATGCATTTGATATAGTGCCTTATGTCTTCAAGACGTCTCAAAACGCTTCACAGGGTAGACAGTAAAGTGAATTGACTGTGTATTTTGTGGGCGAAACGCAGCAGCCAATTGCACATAGGAGTGTCCCACAAATAGGCATGGATTGAGTGACCAAATTCATTTTTTTGAGGGATTATTATCCCCCCAAAATGTAACCGTAATTGAATAAAATTTCACAAGTACCTTCAGTAAATACTGATTTATTAAGTTTATGTACAGGGCAACCCTGTTATAGCATGTTTATCTGGGTCCAATATCTTAAGGTTACATTATAAGCGAAGTACTAAAACTAATTGCTGACTTGTGAGTTGTTGGGTCGCAAACTGACGTAAGTGATGCTTCTAATGCACTGTGCACAAACTCCGTACACAGGAATTGACATCAGTGGCAACCTGATATCAACCATATTTTAGACTGAGAAACCATTTCCTTCAGCACTCGGAGCCCGGTGTGCTGTAGGTGATGCTGTGTTAAACTAGGAAGCTGGTGGGGGGAAACTCTAATGACCCTTTTTTAAAATCCAGTTTGTTTATGTGCTCTGAGATGCTACTTGTGTAAAGGGTGCAATATAAATTAAAGTTATTGTTGTTTGTTGTAGTGGGCATTGCAATTTATTACCTCTTATAAAGTGGTTTAATAATTTGTGCTCTCATTCAAGAATGCTAAAGAAAGATTGTGTGAAGTATTACTAAAAACACATGAAGCATCCACTATTTGTTCAAGTGAGCTTTTGTTTTCGACTGATTTCTTTTACCTGCAAATATCTGCATCATACAGGGATATCATAAAATATCTCTGACATTATCTCTGTTTATAATTAATAGTATATGTGTGCATTAAAATTATTTTAAAATCTTTTTGAAGTGATCAAAAGGGCTAAGGAAATGTTAAGGGCATTTTGCACCAGACATGCTCTGGTGTAGAATCAAAAATATCAGTGTACTTTTTGTTCGTCACTTATTTAAAGCTTGAGGGGAGCGATGAGTTTCAACTCCTCATCATTTTGTGTAGACTTAACAAGAACATAATGGAATGTAAATTGTGGTTGAGCTGACTTCAGTTATGATAAGCATCCAGTGTGGGCCAATGAAGTGTAATATGACACAAAGGCCCTATAATGTAATGTGAGCTCTGATCTACATAAGTGAGCCATTTACACTGACCTAACTGGGCGAGTCTGACTCCTTCAGTTGATGGATGAGGTGTTGATGGGTAAATATGTTCAGCTCACCTTGATTCGCATTGTTCCCCCAAAACCTAGGCCAAACAGAGGTTAGTGCAAAATGTGCTCATGGTCTGTGCCTGCAAGCACTTTGAGACATTCTCCTGATGTGAAAAGTGTTATACAAATATAAATTGTATTGCTGTACCAGATTCTGCAGAGCATGCTATTTGTTTCATCAAATACTTTGTCTCTTGCAGCTGAGATGCACTGAACAATGTCTTCAGAGAAGTCCAGATTTGCACCAGCTACTTAATTATACAATGCAACATGTGCAAACTCGCCACTCTGTTTTCATCAAACAGGCGTCATATGTTTGGCTATTTTTCTCTTTCTTGCTCATTTTCTCCTTGCTACTTAACTTTCCATTTAAAGGTATGTAGAGTTGTCACTGGGTACATTGAGTGCATTGGACCCGACAGTCTGATACACTTGAAGAGCTGTATGATATTCTTGTCAAATCATTCATTCTGAATAAGTCAGTATAATTATTTGAAGCAGAGCGTAACAAGGCCAGTGATGAACGAAGGTGAATCGTTCAGCTCTTCTTGGCTTCATTCTTACACATTGTTGGCACTATTCCTAGGGAATTATCTTATGGGGATGGAAACAAATACAAAGGGCTTCAAGACGTCTTAACAATTTATCTCCATTGTCAAATTTAGCCCGTGAATACAGGGGAAATTCAAATGTTAGTGAATCCCAGGATTTGAGTCCGATTCTCAATTCCACAGTTATCCTCTGTGTAGATTTTATATCTTCTGGATCAAAGTTATTAAACAGACTCTTGGTCTGGTACAATAATTGAAAGTAAATGGAATATTAATAGCTGGCTACCAAGGAATGTTTGGCTTCAAAAATCTTTGTATGTTTAAATCAAATTGTTCATTATAGAGATCTAAGGATGTAGTACTCTCTCTCTGAATCCCTTTGCCTTGCCCCCTCCTTCCCCATTTTCAGATTACACCTGAAGACCTTCCTGTGCCCATCGTCACCTCCCCCTCCTTCCAGCTCTGGGTCAGGCTCCGTCACTGCTAAGCGCTCTGAGATGCTGCTCTGCATGAAGGGCGCTATATAAATGCTGTTTATATAAAAGGTCTTGTTGTAGTTCTGAGAAAGCAAGTGAAATTGAACAAAGCAGTTTGGAATGCATATTTAATATTTGATGTTTTATGTTTGTTCCATAGTACATTCCTTTTGGGTGCAGTAGTGGACTTTTCAATCATGGCAGATGTTATAGCTGAGGCTGATCCTGTTACCATCTGACAGCCTGACATTTGCCCATATGCATTTTCCAGCAGGTCCCTTTTGAGTGATTGAGAGCAGGAACCAAACCTAATTCCTGCTCTTTCTCCTCCACCAGCCAAGGGACACCAAGGCCAGTTGTAGTGAACCAACTTTTGACCTGCCCTAAGTCAGCTAACTCAGCCCCAGAACAGAATTTGAACCAGTTTATAACTGTCTGACCTGTATTCTACATTAGGCAGTTCCTGCAGAAACATTAAGAGTTAATTCTGTCTCAATATTTAAGATTTGTTGCTTTTTTACACAATATGTTGTTTAAATAAAAGTGTTGCGTTTGATCAATAAGGCGTAGCAGTAGCATTGGTTAAATCATGTTTTGCATTCCTTGTAGATCCAGAATGCCAACGATGTTTTAATAGCACCCCTGGAGAAGTTTCGCAAAGAACAAATTGGAGCAGCAAAAGTAAGTCATTTTGGGGATTTCTATACAACTCGTGTGGTAGAACATATTTGGGAAAGATATTTAACTATTTGCCTGATTATCAATCGTCGAAGACACTCTAAAGGTTTATTTTCCCCCAACCTTTTGCTCCAGGGAATTGGGCACATGTAGTATAGATCATGATGAAGCTTGTAAAATATCTCACTGCACGTGTTTTAGATGTGTAAATGCCCTCAGGTACTTTTTGCCAGCGGGTACGGTAAAAGTTATAAATGTCTTGTCACTGAAAAAATTATTTAAAAATTGTAAAATTTGCACAAACTTTTTCACTAAAGTGGTTGTTACAGGACTAACTGCTGCCTGCTCTGGAAAAGAGGAAAACTGGGAATAGGCTGTGATTAACATTGCACATAATGAGGTGTAGACTGGTAATGCAGGAGTAGGGCCTTGTTCCACTGGTGGTGTCTTGAGTCAGAAAAGTGTTGCATCAGCATGCTGAATCACGCCCTGAGAAAACTAAACAAGGACATGTTGTTGAATGAGCAAAGAAGCCATAAGGGCTTGGCCCTAAAGCAAACCTGTAATAGGTTGGGTTGTTTTCATCAACATCCATTTCACTCAAATTGCTCTCTGTTAGTAGAGACTGATACCTATGCCTCAAGTATAAGAGATGAGGATTCCCTTCACTCATCTATGGATTGTGGAGTCCTGTAGCTCAGTGGTTAGAGCACTCGCTTTGCAAGCGAGAGATCTGAGTTCAATTCCCGGCAGGGCAAAACCTTGGGCAAGTTTTCTTACTCCACACGCCTAATAATAATCCCTCCAAAACCAAAAACAATAATAAAAAAAATTGGTCATTTTCAATCTACGACTGTTTGTGGGACATTGCTGTGCGCAATTGGCTGCCGCGTTCGCCCACAAATATAGTCAATTCACTTTACAGTGTGTTCTGTGAAGCGCTTTGGGACGTCCTCCCGACGTGAAAAGCGCTATATCAAAATGCAAGGATTATTATTATTATTATTACAGTAACCCGCCCTCCAATATTGTACAGCTTGGAGTTACTCAGTTAGCTCCTCCTCTAGTGGAGGGCCTAGGGCCTACACATACTTGCAATTGTATAAGATTTGGAACTCTCTCCCTCAATCCCTCTGCCTTGCTTCCTTCTTCCCTTCTCTTAGAACATGACTGAAGACATTCCTCTTTGACCGTGCTTACAGTCACCTTCTTTCTCCCAAGGCTGGGCGTCAGGCTCCAACACTGTTAAGCGCTCCAAAACACTGTCCATGTGAAGGGTGCTACATAAATGCAAGTTGTTGTTTTTGTCGTATATAGCACCATTTATGTAAAAAGATGGTTTAAAAACTGTACGATCAACAAAAATAAAGGTAAACAACAACGTGTATCTATAGAGCACCCTTCATGCTGTTAGTGTCTCGGAGCACTTAACAGCAGTGTGGCTTAACATGAGTTGTAGGGGGTGGGGAGCGGAGGAAGGAAGGTGATCAGAGGCACGTTCGAAGAGGAAAGTCTTCAGGTGTGATTTGAGGGTGGGGGCAAAGAGGTGTCCAGCAGCGCAATATTTTTGCAAACAGAAGCACCGCAATCCTGTCCGAAAGGCCTGAAAAATGTACACTCCTCGATGCCATCCTACAAGTTATTGATGGATACATTGAACAGGATGGATGACAATGGCAGACAATTCAAGATTCGTTCCCTCAGGCTGCCGAAACCTTTATTCATGTATTCGCCATATCAAGGCTCGATTATTGAAACTCCCTCCTCATCGGCCTTCTCAACTCTTCACAAGCTGCAGATCATCCAGAACTCTGCAGCTCATGTACACTCGCGCACTAGGTTCCGCGACCCCATCACTCCCACCCTCGCCCGACTCCACTGGCTCCCCATCCCCCAGAGGATCGAGTTCAAGATCCTCGTCCTCACTTACAAGGCCATCCATGGCCTTGCCCCCTCCTACCTCTCTGACCTGCTGACTCACGACCAACCTACCCGCTCCCTCCGTTCAGCGGACTCCGGCCTGCTCCATGTCTCCCGCCCGACCTGCCCCACCATCGGTGGTTGGGCTTTCAGCCTCTCTGCCTCCACACTCTGGAACTCCACCCCACGGTCCCTTCGCCTCGCTTCCTCCCTTGCCTCCTTCAAGGCCGGTCTCAAGACCCTTCTTTTCAATCATGCCTTTGGTTGCCCTCCCACCTCTCTGCCTTCCCTCACCCTTACATCACCTTTCCCCCATGCTCAGGCCCCAACACCTGACTGTTCAGCGCTTTGGGACGTCCTCCCGATGCGAAAGGCACTCTATAAATGTAATTTTGTTGTTGTTGTTGTTGTGTATTTCCATGGCTTCCATTCCGCAATGAATTCCCCAACAGTTTCGATCTAGTGCCTCATGATGCTCTCACTATGAAAGCAATGTAGGGGGGTTTCCCATCAGTCTTTACACATCACAATCTGCCACACGTTCCTCATGAAAACAGAAGCCAACATGTTCTTTCCTGATCAATCCACGAGCCTCCACGATGGGTGCAGTACCAGTGCATTGACCACCCAAGGCACCAATAGCAATGACAATTTGCATTTATGTAGCGCCCTTCACTCTGAATAGCTTCTTGCAGAGCTTAACAGTGGCAGATCCTGAGGGAGGGAGGGAGGAAGGAGGTGAAGAGGAAGGTCTTCAGGCGTGGTCTGAAAAAGGGGAAGGAGGGGTAAAGCAGAGGGATTGAGGGAGAGAATTCCAAAGTTCCACCTTGTGAATGAAACAAATAACCATTCCACAGTCTACATCTGTGGCTCTTAAAAAATATAATTGCGGCTGTTGGCTTATTTTTCTCAACCATCTTGAGAAGTAAGATATCCAGAGACATGGAGAAGCGGCAGTGAAATGGGCTTGTCATGATCTAATAAAATGATAGAATTAGCTGAATGACTCACTCCTATAACTGTGTTCCCATTAGTTGAGAGATTTGGCGAAACCTCTTACAATAATAATTATGATAACCTGCTGTCGAATAAGACAGAGATGGACAATAAAAGCAACTTGATCTTTTAAAAGAAACCTGAAACTTCCCAAGTCTTGTTCACGTTTTATTGTGGGAGTTCTGTTGCAGATTCACTAAAATTGTTTCTATTAAATAATAAAAAAGAACAATCTGAATAGGCATGAATGAGAATAGAAATAATGCCTATTTATTTTGGCATCACTGACCGCTTAGCAAGATTACTATCTCCAAAGTTAGTTAAATGCCAGGAAAATTAGTTGACGCATAATAGTTTACAGATTATTGAACGAGTACTGTATAAACACAGATGTGTTGGAACCCTTTGAATTAGGATTTGTGATTAATTGGATCGAGTTTTTAATAGTCCAGTGTTGACAATGCTTAAGAGTTCACATCACCATGCATCATAAACATGTTCAAAATTATTTTATGTTGCAAAGGAAGACGCTTTTAAATTTGCTCTATTTATTTAAAAGGACCGTGTTGCCTTGATGTAGCCGAAATCACATTTTTTCTGTCTTATTAAAGCAAACCCTTTTCTCTGGGTCCTCTGTTTTTTGTCCTCAGGAACTGCAAATAGTTTCTTTATCTGTCTGTCGTTCAGGCAGTACTGGTGAATGAGGTAGAAAATCAAAAGGGAGGGAGAAATGAATAAAATGCCTTAAACAAAAGGATTTTGTTTTCAAAAAACAAAATCTTCCCCCTGCATTTACATCTGTTTCTCAATTTCTGCTACTGTCTGAACCTGTCTCCCTCCATATAAGTTTGTGTACCCTTTTTGCTGTCTCCTTCTGCCTCTTTATTTTTCCCTTTGTCTGTCTGTGTATTGGCCCCTTGCTCTGACTGATCTCTCTCTCTCCACATTCCTGTTTCTGCGCATGCCTCTGTCTATATCAAGCTCCTTGATCTAGGCTGCATAAACAGACCCAGAGACACTAGCTTGACCTGTCTGTGTTTAAAACTGCTCTGCTGGTGGCATATATTTGTATTTTTAGTGCATTCCATATTGGCTATTATAAACAGCTTTAGGTTTCACTTTGTGCCACCCATAGAACCATGTCTAGGAGGGACCAAAAGCTGCCTCTTTTGAGTCCAATGTCCTTACAAGCCATTCTTAGAGAATGGCATTCGTAGTTTACCAAGCACAATAATGACAAAGTGGAAAGCAGGTCAGCTGTATAAAACCAATTGAATAATAAATGTTATTTTGCGCCAAAATTAAAGGGTTTCAATTATCAGACCTTTTTTTGCTCAAGTTTTAATCAGAGCTGCTTTCAGCTACCTGGATTATACGTATGTAATGCATTTAGTGAATGCACTTCAAAAGCATTGTAGGATCCTGTTCATTCAGTAATGTTGAGCACGGAATTCTGCTTGCAGTAAAAAATCAGTAAATTGAGTGCTAGTTGGAAAGTACGAGAATATCTTGATCAGGATGTGGATGTTACTCAAAAACTTGAAATATTTCAATGTCTATTTTGTCACTTCCCCCTCCTTCCAGCTGTAAAGACAAGACTTTTCATCTCATGGGCTGCTCCACAGTTGTCCTGAGTTGGGTTACCATGAAGGTCCAGGTTGATGGAATGTTCTGCAGTATGGGGAAAATCCTTTCATTTTAAGGGCAACCCCAGGCCCCTATCTTCAGAATAATGTAGTTTCAATTATAGTGAACTGTGGCGCCCCACTAGCTGGAAGTGTGTAGTAACCAGCCTTCTAACTAGCTGACTCCTCATGCTACAAAAAGGCAGACTTCTGTTAACATTGCTTCTTGCATGCCACCCATGCACAGGAAGCGCTGCCCCTGCTGCTTCACAAAGGACGTGATGTAAGTAGCACTTTTTGCACAAATCGTGTATGTGCAATGCACAGGAAGTGCCATCAGTGGTGTTTCCTGCACAAAGTGTACATGTGCACAACCTCAGAATGTGACGTGAGCAGCAATTTCATGACCTAGAAGTTGATTATTTTGTCACATTGATTGAGATATTGAATCCAACTGACTGC